ATTTCTATTTATTTTATTTTTATATTTTTATTTTAATATTTCTATTTATTTTATTTTTTTATAGAATTATTATTATTATTATTATTATCGTAGGCTGTGCTACAGCAATGGGAAGACTATCAGACTAATAGTTCGGAGCCTAAACTGACCACACCCAGCGAAGACAAAGTTGTTACGGCAATTGAGTTTGATCTTGATCAAAACGATCAGCTCCAAGTCGTTAGCAGGCACCCTGGAGATAATACTGTACGAGGAGATTAATTTTTGGGTCTATCTTTTTAAAAATTTCATTCTCATTTTAGATCGGCATGGTTGCTTGGAGACTGACACTGTTAACCCCTTGTTACCCTGATGGGCGTGATGTTATTGTTATTGGTAACGATATTACACATCAGATCGGCTCGTTTGGGCCTAAGGAAGATCTCCTTTATCAAGTAATTAATAATAATAAGAATAATGATGTTATAAAAATGTTTTACTGATTACAAAGTTGAAGTGTTAGAGTTTGTTGTTTATGCTTTTTTAGAAAATGGCTCGGAAATCACTCCCCATTTTTATTACATTTTCTGATACATATTAATGTCCTTATGCTATATAAAAAGTTTGAGCTGATTCCGACTTAAAATTTTCGAGTTGCAACCATTTCAAGAAAATTCCAAAATTTTGAAAAATACCCAAGGCTATAGCCCATGGGTTTTTCCAAAAAATGGCTCCGAAATCACCCCCAATTTTTATTACATTTTCTGATGCATATTGATGTCCTTATGCTGTGTAAAAAGTTTGAGCTGATTCCGACTTAAATTTTTCAAGTTACGACCATTTTAAGAAAATGCCAAAATTTTGAAAAATACCCAAGGCTATAGCCCATGGTTTTTTCCAAAAAATGGCTCCGAAATCACCCCCAATTTTTATTACATTTTCCGATACATATTGATGTCCTTATGCTGTGTAGAAAGTTTAAGCTGATTCCGACTTAAAATTTTTGAGTTATGGCCATTTTAAGAAAATGCCGAAATTTTGAAAAATACCCAAGGCTATAGCCCATGGTTTTTTCCAAAAAATGGCTCCGAAATCAACCCCAATTTTTATTACATTTTTTGATACATATTGATGTCCTTATGCTATATAAAAAGTTTGAGCTGATTCCGACTTAAAATTTTTAAGTTATGAGCATTTTAAAAACGTCCCAACTGTTACCAAACGTATATTTATATTCATAATATTCTCTCCTTTAGAAAGCCTCAGAGTTATCAAGAGAAGAAGGTATCCCCAGGATATACATATCAGCTAACAGTGGGGCCAGGATTGGCCTTGCTGAAGAAATCAAGCAGTTGTTCCAGGTGGCTTGGATTGATAAATCCTTCCCCGAAAAAGGATTCAAATATATTTACCTCTCTCCCTCTGATTACATGAAGGTAAGTACATGTACTTGTACATGTAGTCATGTGACTGTCATGTGATCCAGACGACAGCTACCAGCGGGAAGAGTGCTTCAGTCATTACTACATTAATTCAAGATGAAGGAGAGCCTCGTTATAAAATAATTGATATTATTGGTTAGTCAATTAATGCATAATATTAATTAGCACTAATTAATTAATAATTTGTTATAACTGTGTAATATTTTATTAAATTTTTAATAGGTAAAAAGGACGGGCTTGGTGTTGAAAACCTGCGTGGTTCCGGTACTATTGCTGGCGAGACCTCGAGAGCCTACGATGATGTTTTCACTATTAATCTAGTAAACCACACCCAGGCCGCGCCTATTTTAAGCCCCTCCCCTAGGTGACGTGTCGCGCTATTGGAATTGGAGCTTATTTAGTGAGGCTAGGCCAGAGGGTCATACAGGTGGACAATTCACACATTATACTGACTGGAGCTGGGGCACTTAATAAAGTATGCACTTTATTAATAATAAAATGAATTAATATTTAATAATAAATTAATATTGATATAATTAGGTACTGGGTCGCGAGGTCTATACATCGAATGCTCAATTGGGCGGAGTCCAGATAATGCACAATAATGGAGTGTCTCATTTAACAGCTCCTAATGATTATGAGGGCGTGGCTTCTATTGTTAATTGGATTGAATACATACCTAAAGTATAAAAAGGAGATTGTATCATTTTATTTATTTGTGTTAGGTCCGTGGGTTTGGTTTGCCGATCCTCCCCAGTATTGATCCAGTGGATCGAGTGATTGAGTTTGAGCCGACCAAACTACCTTATGACCCTAGACATATGCTGGCTGGTAGAACTATTGAAGGTAAGGATGATATTATTTAATTTTACAATAATATAATCTTATTCACATTAAATACATTATTATTATTATTATTATTATTATTATTATTATTATTATTATTATTAGGTGGGGATTTCGAGACAGGGTTTTTCGATAAAGGCTCCTTCCAAGAGACTCTCAGTGTTTGGGCCCAGAGTGTTGTCTGTGGCCGAGCTAGAATAGGAGGGATACCCTGTGGAGTGATTGCTGTTGAAACTCGTGCAGTGGAATTCATAGTACCTGCTGATCCTGCCAACCCTCAGACCGAATCACACGTAATCATTCTCCCCCCCCTCTCTCTCTCTCTCTCTCTCTCTCTCTTTCTCTCTCTCCCTTCATTTTTGCTTTCTCCTTTCCTAGCTATCAGTATTTGTGTATTTATTTATTTATTCATTTATTTATTTATTCATTCATTCATTTATTTATTTATTCATTCATTCATTTATTTATTTATTCCTTTATTTATCTTTTGTTTTTCTTCTAGTCAATATCACAGGCTGGTCAGGTCTGGTATCCCGACTCTGCTTTTAAAACTGCTCAGACTATCCAGGACCTCAACCGTGAGGAGCTCCCTCTTTTCATCTTTGCCAACTGGAGGGGCTTCTCCGGTGGCATGAGAGGTGAGTGTGGTTAATTTAAGCCCCTCCCACCAACCACCCCTCTTTTTAGACATGTACGAGGAAGTAGTCAAGTATGGCGCAATGATTGTTGACGGTTTGAGAGCGTACAAACATCCTGTTTTTATTTACCTTCCGCCACATGGCGAGCTTAGGGGCGGAGCTTGGGTCGTGGTCGACCCGACGATTAATCCCGATCACATGGAAATGTACGCCGATAAGGTGGGCACTAATTAGAAGTACAATCAATCACTTACGTTTTTATGGTCTAGGAAAGTAAGGGCGGGGTTTTAGAGGCTGAAGGTACCGTAGAGATAAAGTTCAAAACGAAAGATCTTGTCAAGACAATGGCAAGGCTTGACAAACGATACATTGCTTTACAAGAAACTCTTAAAAAACCAGGACTGAGCCCCGAGGAGAGACAGAAACTTGAGACCGAACTCAAAGAGAGGGAAACACTGCTGGCTCCTATATATCACCAGGCAAGCCACACCTACCTGGCACCGCCCACTTTATGCTCTTTTTTTTTAAATAGATTGCTGTTGAGTTTGCAGAGTTGCATGATACTCCAGGACGAATGAAAGAGAAGGGAGTCATATCTGTGAGTTTGTAATTATCTTCTGCCAAAAATTTATGAACCACAAGGAAGCATATTAAGACACGTACATGTATCGATGTATCAAAATACATGTGTAGACTCACAAAATTTTTCCTGTTATTTTAGGATGTTTTGGAATGGAAGAATGTTAGGAAGTATTTCTATTGGAAGCTAAGACGAAGACTGTGCGAGAATGACGCCATCAATCGCATCAAAAAGACCGACAGGTATCGAGTTATGTACCATAAACTTGTTGATGAAACCCGTTTGACTAGCTCTCTGTGTCACGGCGAGATTATTGCCATGATTAGAAGATGGTTCGTGGAAAGCAAGAATGTCGTAAATGTAAGTTAGACCTTTTTCATCTTACGTGTACTGTCTCTCTCACTAGAACTATCTGTGGTATAAAGATGAGATAGTTGTGGATTGGTTGGAGTCATCATTGAAGGAGCCAGAGTCTGTTCTATTGAGTAACATTGAATCAATCAAGAAGCAAAAGATATCACATCAAATAACACAGTGGGTTTAACGCATGCACTGTTGTGATTTTGATATCAATATTATTATTATTGATATTATTCACTCTTGTTGATACTGATACTGATTTTGATATTATTCTTGATGCTGATACTGATTTTGATACAGATCATTGATTGAAAATCAAGACATTGCAGTCGACTGTATAGTTCAAGCAGGCCAGTCAATGTCTAGCGCCAAGAGAAGAGAAATCATAAAACATTTGACATCTTTTTTGAACGACTCTTAATTCCACCTTCCTATCTACATTACTAGTTATTTGTATTGTCATTGTGTGTGATAGGTAATAATAATAATTCCTATTATCATTATATTATGATTTATATTATATTATATTAGAGGAAAAAATTTTTGTGCTGTATCATTATTATATTTTTTGTCTAAATTTATTATTCAAAGGAAGAGACAACAACATAGGACACTAAGTAACCTAAATGAGCTACACAAAGCAAGGGTTTGGAAAGAAATTAAAATGGGTGGCAGTAACATAACAATAATAATAATAATAATAATAATAGTAATCAGCAAACGATAAGAGGATAAGTGGTTTAGTTTTAAGCTGTCTCTTCTCTTGGTTTAGAGCCTCCTTTGCCTCCTGTACCCTTCTTCTTTGTCTCTGCTGACATTCGTGAAGCTAACAGCCTTTCTCTCCTTATCTCATCCTCCACACTCTTAGGGATATCAGGAACAAGCCAGTCCAGCAATATACCAAGTATAAATATGAAATGCTACAGGAAAGAGAGAGAGAAAGATTAATACTATCATTTGTTGCAAAAAAAAAAGACGAGAATTCTAGAACTACACACAAGAATGCTAATAATTGTGTCTGCATGTTAATAATACCTCAAAGACAATAATAAATGCTAGTTTACAAGTCCACAAATGCCAGTAGGTTAAAGGATGCGTTCCATCTTCATTAACTTGACCACGGAATCTAGTGAACAATAATTAAATCCTTTATTCTCATGCCCCTCCCCCTTTCTTTACCTGCACGTGGTTTCATTTTTGAAACAGGTACCATCAGTAATGTTCAGTATATTTGAAGTTGGATTCTTAGGATTTTGATTCCTCAATACCAGATTTTGAAACATTGACAAGTTAGTTAGTCTAAAAAGTTAACTTAACTAATAACAATTAATAATTATTAATAACTAACTGGTATAACTCTTTGTATTCATCTTCATTGATTCCTTCGCGATACATTTCGTTTCCGGTTTCAGTAGCGAAACAATCATAATCAATAAAAGGCAAATACAGTTTCCTTTCACCTCTCAACATTATCTGAAAACAAAAAGCAAAATAATAATAATAATAATAATAATAATAATAATAATAATAATAGAGTTTGGAGCCATTTTCTGAAAAAAAAGCATGGGGTATATATAGTATAGTACAGGGTATTCTTCAAAAATTGGCTCGTTTCTTAAAATGCTTATACATATAACTTGAAAAATTTAAATTGAAATCAGCTCAATTTTCTACATAGCGTAAGTACATTAATATGTATCAGAAAACACAATAAAAATTTGCAGTAATTTCAGCTAAATCAAGACTACATTGGAGAGTACAAGAGTATATGAACAAAGCATAAACTCACAATATCGCTGCTGTCATTATTGTATTCATACAACTGCTGAGCAGTGAATACTGGGAAGGTGGTCTTCCCAGAATCATCAACAGATCTCAAGAGGTTAGTAAACTGGAACTCTGAGGTAGCCCATCGAGCATAACTACCATCTCCACTGTTGTACTCAGGTTCATCCTTATAAACCCTATCGAACAGCTCCCGGTCAATGAACTGTGAGGTAACAGCAATAAGCAATGCATTGGTGACCACACTGAGGTTAGTCACAAAGCGAAGGAGGTGGAACCATATGCCAATGTCACCGGCTCTCTCGGCAAGCGGACGGCGGAAGACGGTGACAAATTTGTGAGCATCGAGACGAATCTCAATGACGTTGTTGACCCATGCAAAGAATGGAGCAAGGGGGAAAGCGGCAACAAAGATGGTAACGAATCCATACTGAATAACTATAAATAATAATAATAATAAATTAATAATAATATTTAATGTTCTCTCTCTCTCTTACCTAGCTCAAGGTATTCAAAGAACAGTCCATGTATTGAGAGTGGCACTAGTTCATAATCTTTTTCCCAGCGTAGGAACTTGTTATCTTCTTCCTCAACAATCTCACCTTTTTTCTCTTTGCGACGCCTCATGTACTTCTTTATAATAGTCTTGAAATAACTGAGAGGAGGAGAAGAGATGAGAAAGTTAAAGATTCTTTCATGCTTATAATTACTTACGGTATTCCTAGTTCAGTGACATTATTAAGCACTTGTTTACCAAGGAAAATGATTGCTAGCTGTATAGTTAATTCCAGTAGGCACCCATAAGCAGAGCACTCATCCAAACGCCACATACCGAACCTCAGATAACCTCCTGGATACCCAGTAGGCCTGCGAATAAAATAATAAGAATAATAAATACATAATGTGTACATATTTATATGTGTGTGTGTGTAGCTTCCTTCCTCCTTCCCTCTCTCTCTTTCTCTTGAAACTCACTTTCCCTTGATGAATGCAATGTAGAAAATTGACGAGTAAAAGTTAATGAATTGGAACAAATACATCTTGAATGTGAAGGAGTCCTCATACTCGGTGGTAGTACGATGCAGTTCTAAAAATAGAACAAAAAATTAATAATCATAATAATCAACAGTATCAGTATCTCACCCCATGATGTCAACCAGGCTGCTAATCTCTCGTATACTTGATTCATGATCACAATAAATATGAGCTGGATCAGAGATCCTGTGATAGAGACAGTTAAATCAGCAACACTCGGGCCACCTGGTAGCTTCTGAGTGAGACGATAAAAAGAAGTAGAGACGGCAAGACGATAAACAAGCACACCCAGGACCACGCCCAAAACAGCTGCTACCATAGTCAGGAGGACACTGGTACCAAGGAGTATCTTTGGTATATAATGATGCTTGGGTTGTATGTATTCATCTCTTTCAAGAACTGGGTTGTGAACTTTGTACTGCTTCTTCTTCTCCTCCGGATAATCTTTTATTTTGTTTTTGATTGCTTGAACAAACTCGGGTCTCTCTCTTTGCTCAGCTTCCTCAAAGCCAAGAGTGTCCCAGTCGTACTGTAACTGCTTCTCTGTCCTCTTCCAAAACTCGAGAAACAACACAGCTAAGGAAAGTAAAAATATTATCATTATTAGTTAGTAGTATAATTATTATTATGGCTTACCCCAGCAGGCCATGAAGGCAGCAAAGAACACTGTCCCTCCAAAATCAAATAATAATGAAACACGAGCAAATCCACAGGCCGATCGATAGTACCAGAAATCACAAGTCTCATCACACGGGGCACACATGTAGAACTCCTTACGAAGGGTATTATTACAAATATCACGACTAGAAAAAAACATAACAATAATTTATAAATATAGAAGATTATTACGGTAATAGCTTACGCCAGTTCATTGTAGTCAAGGGATATAGTGAACAGTCCAGCAATCATAACAATTATACCAACAATGGAGGCCATGCCAAGCCAACTGGTGTAGAAACCAACCCAAGCAAAATAGAGACCAATCTTCTCACCAAAATAATGACTAGAAGAATAGAAAAGGTAAAAATAAAGAATGATTGTAAAAATGAGAAAACGTAATAAAAATCTAGAATTCTCTCCTAGATGAAACACCCTGTACCATATACATGTAGTACAGGAACTTTAGCCTGATTTTTAAGCACTTATAAAAATTCATAAAAAAATCCAAACTTGATCGAAATCAGCTCAAAACTTCTACAAAACATAAGTACATGTATACACATACCCTGTACTAAAATAGTCTATATTTTGAGCATGCACAGTTATGCATCAGAAAATGCGATAAGTATTTTCTTTGAGCTATTTCTATTGCTATAATTACCGTATGTTCTCCAATGGCTGGTACTTATAAAAGTTCTTTGGGTGTGACCATTGATTGAACAATAACTTCCTCTCATTGTCAATCTCATCATGTTCACCTTTCAACCTAAAACGACCCTAAAAATTTACAAAAAAATAAATTCATGAAATAATTATTTCTTAATTCTCCTCTTACGTCATGAAGTGGAAATGAATCAGAAAAGACTCCGTCGGATTTAAGACGCGACACGCCCACTTGCTCCTCAGTCTGTCCATACTGGATGTTCTCAAGTATATGCCATGTCTACTCAACAGCAATGAATATCATTATACATCATTCAACTCTATATACTCACAATGGTACTTCGCTGAGCTGAACTAAAGAATTCAGCTTCATTGTTAGATCCACGATAACTAAAAGGATTTTTTAAGAGTCAATACAAGAAGCTGTGCAATCTGTAAACAAGCTCAAGCCTTCTCAACTCTTTCTCCTTTCTCTTCATCTCTCTCCCTCTCTCCCCCCCTCTCTCTCTCACTTCTGTCTATTCTCAGCAACATATGGGGCAGTAAAGAAGTCCTTATATTCAAATTGTTTCGGTATCTTTGGCTCAAAGAACGTAAAAGGATCCCGAATATGACACCTCGTAAAGACATCCCTGTACCAAGCTTTATCCCTACGGGGCAGATCAACTTCCTGAGAGATGGTAAAGATCCATTTTTTATTTCATATTTGTCATTACTTGTATTGGCATTCGGATGAGAAGATCCTCAGCTCCTTTCTCAAGTGCTGGGAAAGTTGCATGGACTTTGATAAACCAGGTCTGATGATCGTAGAGCTAACAAGAAAAGCAATCATGCAAAAATTATACACACAACCCATTAAAAATCGTTTGGCTACCTGAGGCTTCTGCCGTTCAATTTCCAGACCGTGTTCAATCATTTTTTTAAAGAAGGCCTTTCTCTTGGCAGCATTGGAGCTCTTCTTGTTAGTGCCTACGGGTTCGCCTTCTTCATCTTCATCATCATCTTTCTTATAAGTCAGAATCATATCTGAGGAGATACACCATCATTGATAACGCATATACATATACATGTACATAACTGAAATTGAAAATAATCTGCAAAATGCATGCACATATACATGTACGTGTAAGTGTACTTGGCATTTAAGTAGCAATTATTTGTTAAAAAGTAAATGTTATTCATTCATGGGCCCAATACAGTATATCTGTTGTCTAGTGAATCCTATTACTGTAGCTATAAATAGAGTCTAGTCTAAATATAGTAGCAATGAATGAATGGGTGCAGCATCAATGCCTTATTTGTGTGTGTGAACATACACAGGCACTCTTTGAAGCTCAATAACAAACAAAATGAGTGTTTAGTTGTCAACAAGAAGGGAGGCAGAATAAACAGAAGACATTAATGATACACATATGTGCATATGGTGTGGGTAGATGCCATGGACTTAAATTAATATTTGTTTATTTAAGAAATTGAGATATAGGCATAAGCTTTTATAGCTACTCTTGGTATGATAGTATGTTATCATAGACTGTCAGTACAGGTCTACTACTAGTTCCATACTGCTAGTAAACAAAATGAATGGAGGGATAAGTGCACATGTACATGTACATGGCCATGAGTCTTACCAATCTTCTTGACTCCATCGTTGAAGTAGACTGTGTTACGCTCTTCCTCATCACTTCTGTCCTATAGTTCATGTACATAATGACTCATGAATGCATCAACCTCCAGAACTACCAGTAGGTCTACATGCCATGCATCTACATGTACTGTACACTCAGGTACAGTGCTATAGCTTCTTATGTCTTAGTTTCTACCCATCTCCTCCCTTCTTTCTTTCTTTCCAATATTTCTTCCTTCCTTTCCTTTTTTCCTAAATTCTCTTCTCTCTTTCCTTCAATGTCCCATTTTCTCTAAACCCTCCCTCCCTCCTCCTCTCTCTCCCTTACAGTGTCTTGTGAAGGAGATAGCAGCTGTATGCCTTCAGAACTGCTCTTTTTCATTCTCTTGTCATTGATCCTCTGTCTCTCTCCTCCATTCTCACTGCTCCTGTCACTAGTAGCAGCAGGCACAAAACCTTCAAAGCCAATCTGAGGTGGGCCAGACTCTGACTCCAATTGAGGATAGAAGCTCTGAGCCATGACACTCCAGTGTATGTATAGGCTATATTCACTGTACAGCAACCACTGATGAAGACAGAGTAAGAGAGAAATACTATTGTAGCTACAGAAATGTCTTTCAAGCCCCAGAGAGACAGAGAGGGAAAAAAAGGAGAAAATGGCCTTAAAAAGGGGCTAAACTATACCACATATGCTCTAATTATAAGAGGAGTCTAATGAATATCATTGAGTTGAGACATAAAGTAGGTATCTGGTACTGTCTGTTACAATTGAATGCAATTATGGTGTATGGACATGTATGTGACATGTGTCTTTACAATTGTATGTCTTTTAATTACTTTTATTATTAAAGAACTTAAAAAAATGACAATGACAATAATAATGACAATATGATAAGACTGATTCACTGTCTATATCTGTCTCTAACTAATAACTAATTCAAGGGAAACACAGGCACACAATAATAATAATAATAATAATAATAATAATGATCAAAATAACCTGAGATCAACAAAAATTTATGTTAATTAACCAACTAATAAAAAATTAATTTTTTTTGTAATAATAATAATAATAATAATAATAATAATAATTTCTCAATGTCACTAGCCTTGTATCGATCACTCAAGGTGCAGCAGAGAGCGAGGCTTCAGTGTAGGTCCTATCACGATCACCTCTGGCGTCCTCTTCCTTGGCCTGCTGGGCTAGTTTAGATGCAAGGAGCTTCTCTCTCCTTATCTCATCCTCCACACTCTTAGGGATATCAGGAACAAGCCAATCCAGCAATATACCAAGTATAAATATGAAATGCTACAGGAAAGGAGAGAGAGAGAGAGAGAGAGAGAGAGAGAGAGAAAGAGAGAGAGAGAGAGAGAGAGAGAGAGAGAGAGAGAGAGAGAGAGAGAAAGAAAATGAATATAGAAATTGCACACATACTCTACATGAACTTCTCTTCTCTCTTTTCTTATAACTACATCCATTATTATTATTATTTGTATTATTCACATCTGCACTCAGTTCACTGCATGTGTGTATATGCTCAAATATTTACTTCAAAGACTATAACGAATGATAGTTTGACTGTGATTAGTCTCCAATATTCCAGTGGAAATTCGCCATCAGGATCAACCTGACCACGGAAACTATAATAGAAAAATACAGTAATATACATACATACATGTACAATGTGCATATACATGTACATGTAATTATCACCAAGTAAAAACTAACCGACAAGTTGCTGAAGTATTAAAACAAATTCCATAATCGGCTCTTATGTTTGAGGTAAAGTCCTCACTGTTCTCATTAGTCCTGTCACTAGCTATATTCAAAGTTAAATTCCTGAAAATTCGATTTCTATAGAAAATAAAGAAAAGCAATTATATAATAGCCACCTCCATGATAGCTGAGAGAGGGCAAGCTACATGTATTAGTATGTAGGAATTAAAGAAAAAAGGGAAAGAGTGAGATGAGGGAAAGGAGAAGAGAGGGAGGAGACATACTCATAGAAAGTCCTATATGTGTCTAAGTCGACACTGGTAGCGTTAAAACGGCCATCCGACTCTCTAGCAACACAATCAAAATCAATAAATGGAAGATAGAGCTGATCTTGACCATTAACGGTCACCTGAGAGAAGAAAGAAAGAGAGAGAGTAAGAAATTAAGGCAAAGAAGGGAAAAAAGGAGATGAAATGATCATATGCATGAAATTATATGCATTCATTTAGCTCATAAATCAATGGTATTCCAGTAACTACATATGAGTGCAGTAGACCTATCTTAAAATTTGCAAGCTTTAATTCAGTGCATGCAAACAAATGAAAATATTTCCAGACTACAGTATAAGTAGCTCTGATATATGATCACATACTTCATTTCCATCGCCATCAAACGCCAGCAAAGACTGTGCAGTGTATACAGGGAAATTAGTGTCCCCATTGGGAGTAGCAGATTGAAGAAGAGCCGTCAGACTAAAGCTAGAAGTAGCCCAACGTACAAATCCACCTCTTCCACTATTGAACTCAGGTTCATTCTTATAAACCCTATCAAACAGTTCCCGGTCAATGAACTGTGAGGTAAAAGCAATAAGCAATGCATTGGTGACTACACTGAGGTTAGTCACAAAGCGAAGGAGGTGGAACCAGAGTCCAATGTCCTGTGCTCTCTCGGCGAGCGGACGACGGAAGACTTGAATGAATTTGTGAGCGTCAAGACGTATCTCAATGACGTTGTTGACCCATGCAAAGAATGGAGCAAGAGGGAAAGCAGCAACAAAGATAGTAACGAATCCATACTGAATAACTATAAATAATAATAATAAATTAATAATAATATTTAATGTTCTCTCTTACCTAGCTCAAGGTATTCAAAGAACAGTCCGTGTATAGAGAGTGGTATTAGTTCAAAATCCTTTTCCCAGCGCACAAACGAGTCATCTTCCTCAGTATCCTTCCCTTTCTCTTTGCGATACCTCATGACCTTCTTAAGAATAGTCTTAGCATAACTGGAGGAGGAGAAAAAAATATAAATAAGAGGAGGATTAATAACATTGTACTTACGGTACTCCGAGCTCAGATATATCATTGAGAACTTGTTTACCAAGGAAAATGATTGCTAGCTGTATAGTTAATTCCAGTAGGCACCCATAAGCAGAGCATTCATCCAAACGCAGTGATCCAATCCTGTCATATCCACCTGGGTATCCAGTGAATCTAAAGAAAATTTTGTTAGAATAGTTTGAGGAACATCTACTTCTTCTTTTCCTATACTCACTTTCCCTTGATGAATGCAATGTAGAATATCGACGTGTAAAAGTTAATGAATTGGAACAAATACATCTTGAATGTGAAGGAGTCCTCATACTCGGTGGTAGTACGATGCAATTCTAAAAAAAGAACAATAAATTAATAATCATAATAATCATAATAATCAATATCTTACCCCATGATGTCAACCAGGTTGCTAATCTCTCGTATACTTGATTCATGATCACAATAAACACGAGCTGGATCAGAGATCCTGTGATAGAGACGGTTAAATCAGCAACGCTCGGGCCACCTGGTAGATTCTGAACAAGACGGTAGATTGAGGTTGATACAGCAAGACGATAAATAAGAACGGCAAAGACCACACCCAAAACAGCTATCACCATGGTAATGAGGATCACAAAACCTAGCACTAGCTTAGGGGCAATGTCAAATGCTGGTTGGATGTATTCGTAACGCTCAAGGACAGGGTTCTTTATCTTGTACTGCTTCTTCTTCTCTTCTGGATAGTTCTTGATCTTCTTTTTAATTGCTTGAACAAACTCGGGTCTCTCCCTTTGCTCAGCTTCCTCAAATCCAAGAGTGTCCCACTGATACTGTAACTGCTTCTCTGTCCTCTTCCAAAACTCGAGAAACAACACAGCTAAGGAAAGTAAAGATATTATCATTATTATTTTAGTAGTATATTATTATTATGGCTTACCGTAGCAGGCCATGAAGGCAGCAAAGAACACTGTTCCTCCATAATCAAATAATAACGAAACACGAGCAAATCCACAGGCCGATCGATAGTACCAGAAATCACAAGTCTCGTCACAAAGGGGACACATGTAGAATTCAGCACGAAGGGTATCATTACAAATATCACGACTAGAAAAATATAATAATTATTATTAATTAATAAATATAAAAGATTATTATGGTAATAGCTTACGCCAGTTCATTGTAGTTAAGGGATAAAGTGAACAGTCCAGCAATCATAACAATTATACCAACAATGGAGGCAAAGCCAAGCCAACTGGTGTAGAAACCAACCCAAGCAAAATAGAGACCAATCTTCTCACCAAAATAATGACTAGAAGAATAGAAAAGGTAGATCAATCAATCCATGTACTATCACACATCGTCTTTGGCCAACTTTTGGCCAAATAAAATATTCTTTGAGCCAAATAACATAAATTCATTGTTATAATTACCGTATGTTTTCCAGTGGTTGATACTTATAAAAGTTCTTAGGGTGTGACCACTCATAGTGAAGCAACTGCCTCTCATTGTCAATTTCATCTTCAGGATTCTTCTTAGTGAAGTCACCCTATTAATAATAATAATCAAATAATACAATTAATATAAGTATAGGCCTGGGAATATCACTGTCACGATATTTACTAAGCTGCCAAGCAAAGCAACAACAATGACGATAATATCACTAAGATGAAAGCGACACGCATTGTAAATAAAAATATACATGTAAATATAAATGTATATTAATATGTACTAATTACCTTGCACATACATGTACGATAACACTGAATACATGTCACATACGTGTACGTGTATTAATGTACATTGTAGGTACATGTAGTCGTGTACGTAAGTGGTATAAGTACATTAACGCTTACATCATGGAGGAAGAAAGCAGACGTGAAAGTGCTGTTTTGAACAAGGCGTGATACACCAACTTGATCTTCATTGGGACCATACTGAGTGTTCTCCAGTATATTCCATACCTACATGTAGATTATTATAA